GTGGGGGGTTATTGATTATATCATAAGATATAATCGTTGCTTACCAGGAGTTCACAGTTTATAAGGGCATTTATAAGTTTACTTGGTGAAATTGGAAACAGTTTTCGAATATAGTACCTAAGCTAAAAAGCTGGTGAGGGTGTGGGAATTCAAGGGGCCTTGGAAACACACACTCATTGAATGAATGAGCTCATTAACTGGGCATGTGAAGAGGGAAATCCTGTGATTCCGCCATTGTCCGTTTGATTTCCTTTTTTTCCTTTGCTTGGCCAATAAAGTGAGATGCTGTGAGTTCTGAGTCAGGTGTATGAGCTACTGTAGAAGTGACTATGCCAACAAGAAGATGAATTATGGAAAGTAAAGTGTTCATTAGCTTACCCCTCAAAGCCATTGAAGAATTGCAGAAGTGGACAGCGAGAACCTTTGGGCTACCGTTGATTTTTTGGTTTACTTTTATTTTTTTATTTTTATATTTTTTAGTAAAGCAAAAAGAAAGTTTTATTTGGCATATATTCAGAAAGGCAGGAGTGGGAATCGGACAGCCATGCTGCCAGAGCCATGTCTGCCTGAGTCCAAAGAATATTACAGAATAGGTGAGAATAGAAAAACAGATAAGCATGCTGCCACAGCCATGTCTGCCCGAGTCCAAAGGTTACAGAATCATCGGTATATATCAACATCACCAAATGGGTAGAATCATTGAAATCATCACCTTTTCACTGATTGGCTAGAAATTGTAATCTTACATTTTAAATCACCTTTCTTAACAATCATTGGTACGGGTTTCAGTTACGAAAGTCAAGAAGGTCTTCATTGATTCAACAAATTTCTATTCACTAAATGTTAATAGAAAAAGACAAAAAGTGAGAAGTGCTTTGGGTTAGGTTTTATTGCCCTTTTGTGAAGACTTCCTTAAGATAATTTCTGAGATTGTCCCATCGATTGTCTTATCTCAGGGCCCAGTTGATGTGTCTTTGTGAGTCTTGGTTTACTTTTAAAAGCTGACTTTTCATAGGACTGTTGGGCTCTGCATCAGGATTGCACCAAATACTGGAATTTCACTCCTCTAGAAGTAAGATCTTTTTGAACATTGGAATTGTATGTTTTGGTATAAAATTTGGAATTCGGCTTGTAACTTCTTGGAGAGAAAAGAGATGAAAAACTTGAACTACAGATTACCTCCTTGTATATTATTGGCCGTAGTTAACTGAAAAGTTATAAATGCACACCTTTTTATCCTTTATTCTGTGTTTAACATAGTGATGATTATCTGCTTTTAAACTTAGTTTATTTATGATATTTAGTAGCTTTGTTTTGTGCAAAACCAGAGGATGAAAGCTCTGTTTCTTTTGTTGTAATCTGAATAATTTCTCAGGATGTTTTTGAACTGCTAAGAAGCAGTGCCATTACCAATTAATTTTTGCCAGCACCAAGAGCAAGATGAATCTTTAATTGGAATTGTGAAGATAAGCGCTTGTATAGAGGTCTTCCCCTTTTTTATACTGGAAGGCATTTCATTTTGGTGACCACTCTGATACTAATATTGTTCACTGTATAGTTTACTTTTCCATGTCAACTCCACATATTTACAGTAAGATGTTGTCTCCCATTGTATGACGCATTTGAAAGCCAACTAATGAAGGCAGCTGAGTCACTCAGAAATTTTCTTTTAAAATTTCTCGTAAATTTGACACACAGTACTGAAGTAAAGGCAGCTGGTAATTGATGGGCTGGTCTAACAGTGTTACACATGTTTACAGAATATGTAGTGACGTTTACGGATATATTTTGCAAGAAATCTTTTCTGAATCATCAGTGTGTTTTGGTTAGAGAACAATAATGCTGTTGGGGTTTATTATAGATAGTTTAAAGTGTACAGCTATTGTGGAGGGAATTCATTTACAAACAGCCCATCGAAAGACTACATCTAAAGTGTGATCATGGCCGACTGAAATGGAGATGGGAGATCTTTCTGGGTCTTCATGTCAGCCACATCTATATTCAGATCCTCACCCAGCAGAATTCTGAACTGTTAACTAGGAGATTCAAAACAGGAATTAAATTCTGTAGAGTTTTCTCAGTGAATAGATTTCAGTGTTGTTTTGATATAATTTTAGAAGACTTTTAGCAAACATGCACTTCATTTAGGCAAGTATTTTAAAAGTAAGCTAAGTGCTGTCTCCCTTGTTTATGGAGTAGGAATTGCATCAGATTTTTAAAAATTTATTCTTGAGTATCTGACTCTAGAGTCTGTAGGTGCACTGGCTTTTTGTGTGTACTCCAAAATGATTGAATTGTGAAGTACACAATTAAGCTAGTTGATCAGTTTGTCGCATTTTTTTCCCACTCACAAACAGTTATTCAACACAAGACATTTTGCTTTATATGTACGTGTATGTATCTAAATACACGTGTATTTATATTAGAGTGAAAAATAAATGATTTGTTTCCTAAAAGGAAAAAAAAAAAGGGAAGTTTTGGCAGTTTATTTTTGACTATGAGAAAAACCTTTAAACCTTTTGTGCCTCAGTTTCCGTATCTGAAATATGAGATTAATACTTGATGTCCCCTAAAGTTTTTTGAGCCTTTGAGTGCTACTAATTGATGTAAGACAGAGGTTTCGAAACACTTCTGTTTTGGGAAGTTTGAGATTGGGCCTGGGAATCTATATTTTTAAAGTTTCCCAGGGATTCTTGTTTGGGTTCCCCTTGTCAAGAGCACAGAAGAGGGAATGGACTGGCAACAAGGGCAGAGAAGTAAGTGATTAGGATACATGAGTAAAGGGACAGCAGAAGAGGAAAGAAAGAGATGATTGTTGCATGGTGACAACTGTGCTGTCAGCTTTTATACCACAGGCCAAACAAGGGGATATTCCTTTCACTTTGCTTAAGAAAAAAGTTTTTTTTTGTCACAGAAATAGATTTGTTTCCTTCCCAGGAATATCATAGGCCTAATCATTGTCATAGTTCTCAGTAACTTTTAAAAGATCTTTTTTTTGGTGGGGGGTGTATCTTGCACCTCGCCATCCTGACTTTCTCTAAATATTCCCAGCTTCATTCCTGATGAGATTTCTCAGTCTTGGAAAACTCAAAATGCTCTATTTCTTGTATTGTATTCAGTCCCTCAGGCATTTACTGTGAGGATCTTCTACGTAAGGCACTGTGCTGAGGGCTGTGGAAGGTGCTAGCATGATTAGAACAACCTGCCATCATGATTTTAGCTAATGGACTTGGCTAGCTTGCCTCATCAGTAGCTGTGGTGATCATACTTTGTAAGCGAAACTTGGGACCCGTGGTCTGAGAGTACAGGTGTACTGAAGGAGTTGGTGGGGCAGGATATTTGAAATCAGAGCTGCCCCGGTAAATCTGGAACATAAGGCTGTGACTTCAGCACTGTTTGTACTGCACAGTTAATGTTTATAGTATGGCGCATTTACCTTGTCATGTTGTTTATCCTTCTGGTTCTCCACCTCTCTCTTCCTCTAGATTTCAAACTACTTGAAATCCGGAGCAAGGTCTTAGCCCTCTTTATAGGTACAGAGCCTGTGAGCACGATGTTTGTTGACAGTGACAAATCATATGTAATGTCACCTGTGCAAGCGTATCCATCCAT